GCTGAACCATACAATACCTTGAAAATGAAAACTTGTAGCGGGTAAAGCTGTGAAGGAAGGTCTATTGATGATGCAGCACTGAAGCTTTTGTAGTGATGCCATCCCCAGCTTCAAACAGAATCTGCAGCATCATACTCTCCCTTTCGGAACATCTGTAATTTGAAAGAGCACAGATGCATGCATTGGATTGCGGCTGGATGAACAACCAGATTGCCATTTTATTTTTCTCAGGGAAACATACTTATACAACAAAGTTGTTATAGAATGTGTGTACTCACTGTTGATATGTAGAACCGAGTAAAATGAACAGATGAAATTATAGCAAAAATTGGATCTCGACCATGATTATACCAGCTTACTTCGCTAATGGCCTAGTTTTCCACTTCCAGTGACTGATTTAACTTTGCTGGTGAATGTGTGAAGTCTGTAATATAGGAATTGTTAAGTTTCTAAACTAACTTGGATTACCTTGTTGCTATTTCTACTTGTTTCTTTTTGTACTACATTTACTGACCACATTGCTGATCACACCACACCTCTAATACATGTGGGTCGCATATATTATTGGGGTAGCAAAGTGTTCAATAAATCTAGTACAACTATTATTATGGTTCTAAATGTATTATGTATATTCACCTAAACTAATCTTTATAATTTGCACAAGTAATATTTTAATTGGATTTCCGCTATGGGCTCCAATGACTTCCAAAATGGGCCAAGTCACAGCCTTAAAAGGCCCAAGTTATGGCACCCCCGCGGGCCCGCGGGAGTGGAAATCAAAGGGCCTTCGAAAAGTCGCTGCTCCTCCTCCACCTTCATCATTTAGGCACGGTGCGAACCCTCGTTTCCAATCGAAACCCTCCTCGCATGAAATAACAAAACAAAACAAAACAAAAAAAAACAGAAAAACGAAATTAATAATAAGAAAAACAGAAAAAGCTCCAAAGCCCAAAAGGGAAGGCCATGGATTCGTACCAAGCGCAGCAGCGGTACATGCGGCCGCAGCCACCGGCCACGTCGGATCCCTACCAATACCAGCAACAGCAGCAGCAGCAGCAACCGAGACCACAGTGGTACTCGAACCACTTCCAGTACCCGTCGCCTCAACAACCCCAGTGGGCTCCACCACCTCGAGCCGACCATCTCCCTCCGCCAGGTTCTTATCCTCCGCCGCCCCTTCCTCACCCTTATCCTCCTCCGTACCCCCCCAACCACCACTTTCCTCCTCCTCCTCCCCCATCTCGGCCTCACCTGCCTTCTCACCTCCCTACCCCTCCGCCCATTCCTCCTCCACCTCACTCTTATCCTCAGCACACCCAGGTATGCCTCAAACACACACACACTCTCTCTCTCTCTCTCTCTCTCTCTCTCTATGTATGTATGTATGTTTGTTTGTATGTTGCATATGGACTCTGATGTTGATAAATTGATTTCTGGACGTTTTTGGCTGGTTTGAACTTTGATGTGTATGCTTGATATGAGGGTTAATGAGAGTCATTATGATTCTTGGTCTGAAAACAACCACTTGAGTTTGTATTTGTGGTGCAGTTAGTGGCATGTTGTTGCATGTTGATATTCTAACGCAAAGCATAAATGTTTGTAGGAGTGGGGAGCTGCTCCAAGTTGGCCAAACAACCAAGGTTGGGATTACCCAGGTAAGTTTCTTTCCACATTTTAGTTTCATATCAACCACATCTTGATTCGTTGAATTCATATTCAGTAAAACACTTTGTTTCCCATTATGATTTTGTCGTCCGCTTAATATTTTCGATCAAATTATTTGTAGTCGTGCTTGCAGTGGACAAAAATGAGGTCCTATTTGTGTTATTATTCAATTGCTTCTTTGCTCTTGTGTAAAGCCAAAATATTTCCCGGAGCTTTCACTTTTGTGGGTTGATGACATTGGATTGAATTTGATTGTTTTGTAATGGTAGCCCATAATAATCAAGAAGATTGGGAAGCCAAGGCTAAGGCATGGGTAGATGCGAGAGCGTCAACGGAGAATCAACATCAACAGTTGCAGTTTCCTCCGGCAGGCAGAGTAGAAGAGCAAAGTCATTATCATGATCAGTATCCCCAGAACGTTGATTCTCATTATTCTGGTACTCAGCATCAGTCACATTCTGCATCCAGCTATCAACAGGTTCCAGTTTCAGGTACTCCAACACACCAGCCACCGGGAATTCGTCCCCAGGAGACTTCATCTTCCTATGCTCATCATGCTGTTAGAGATGGAATGCCAGCTGTGGACACAAATTCTGTGTTTCATCGACAAGGAAACCTATCTGCTAGTCCATCTGTTCATCAGCAGGAGGTACCTTCTAGTTATTCTTCTGTTACAGGTAATAATTCACATGGTATTGACTTTGCATGTGAAGCTTCTGTTCCACAACTGCTGTTACAGAACTCAAATCTACTATTTAATTTTACCTTCTGGATTTTTTTAGCAGTATCAAATGTAGGACCTTCCACACAGATCATTAGAGTATCTTGAAAATTAGAATTGGAGGTTGTTTCTTTTTGTGCAGCGATCATTTCAACCATATTAATCGGGATGTCCTTAGGTGGTTAATAGTAACTGGTTAAGTGGCTCTCCTCCTTTTTTTTGTTTTCAAATACGTTGATTATATTACTCCACTAAGTGGATTGTGTTCTTATTTTGAGCTGAAGAAGTCTTATTAAGTACAGCAAGAATACATTTTTGATTGAGTACTGACCATCTCCAGTAAAAGGGCAATATTAGTCGGCAAGAACTACATCTCCCTTATACAGATGCTCTGAGTTGGTATATATGGTTTTCAGGAGATATTATTTCTTCTAATTTTTTTAAAATAAGATGTTTCCTACCTTACTCAGCTTTTGCTGACGTTAGAGGGAATAACTATTACCGCTAATATAGTCTGGAATGGAGAAAGATTGTAGAGGCTGGTTACATCTCCATTCTCACTTGGATTCCTGGTAGCCAATTGAGGACCCTTATTTCTCCCAAGGATCTTTCCCCCTGATTTGATCTTTTGATTTGCCGTTTGACTACTTACTTGAATGACAGGCAATGAAGGTTCTGCAGCTCAGGAAGAACAATATCACATGCAACCATCACAGCCAATGCCCTTTGCATATGGCAGTCAATCTGCTGACCCAACAACCAATCTTGCTGACCAGCCTTTAGAGTTTGCACCCGGGTTTAATTCTGATCATGGTCTACACCTGCAGCCCAGCTATTCTTATCATGACCCTGCTACCACAGTGCCTTCCATGAATACCTGGTCTACTTCTGTTGCACCTGGTGTAGTTTATCCCTCTAGTCTACCAGTTCCATCAGGACCACAGGTGTTAATTCTGGTTTCTTGAGTCTGTCTTCTTTTCTAAGGCCATGATATGAATTTTCTGACATGTTTCATTCTTCAGCATGATCCTTCCATGGCAATACCCTCTCCTGTTCCTGGGCATGCTCCACCTTCATTTGGCAGTTTTCCTGGACTGAGCCTCCAGCCAACAATTCCATCTGCTGGTCCCCCCTTTGGTCTCACTGCAGGAACTGCAGTTCACCCTACTGCAGCCTTCCCTGGTGATGCATATGGAGTTTCTACAGTTTCTGAGCGCCCCAAAAAGGTAAAATTTTGCCATTGTAAATACGTCAACGGTGAGTGGCATGCTTGTTAATTTGTTCTACTCTCCTGAAATTTATGGTAGGCTTCAGTGCCTAATTGGCTTAGAGAGGAAATTAAGAAAGCAGTTATCACAAGTTCATCTATGGACCATCCTAAGGAGGAGACGCAATCCATTGAGGATGAAGGAGTTGATAGATCTTTTGGGAAGGGAGATCAAGCTGATAGCAAGAGCATCGATTCTTCTAGATCAACTGAAGAAGAGGATGATGAGGTTTTATTCTATCATCTAAGTTTATTCATTTTGCATCTGAAGCCCCACTCGTCCCCCTTAATGAACTGTTCTTCTGAAAAATCCTGTTTTTTTTTCCCTCCATATATTCATCCCATGATAGTAGCTATTTGGATGCATGTCATTTCCTTATGGAAACTTACATGCCGTATCTTTCTTTTTTTTGGTTTTGTGGTAGGATCAACTGGAAGCAGCTAGGACTGCAGCAATTAACCAGGAAATAAAGCGTGTTCTAACTGAAGTTCTCTTAAAGGTTTGTAGTGTTTAGAAAATGATAGATTTGCTAATTTAACTCGCATATACTGCATTTTTAACTCCTATGTTTTTGGACAGGTTACTGATGATCTGTTTGATGAAATTGCTACAAAAGTTCTTACTGAAGATGATCTGACACTTGAAGGTAATTGTACCATAATTACAGATCCTTGTCTTTGATCTTATGCATTTAAAGTAGCTTTTTTAGTCTAGCATTCTGTCCTTTTCTTATCTTAAAGAAAATAAACAAAGAATTTAATTAATTATGTCATTTGTTACAGTTGAACAGAGCACACTGACTTCAAACCATAAGTTATTGCCATCTCCCCCAGCAGTTTCAGCTCTCAAGGCTTCTGCAAAGGTTCTAATTCCGGCCAAGTCTAAGGAATCTGAGACTGAAGATGTCAGTGAAAAATCCAGTTCCAGTTCACCTGGTAATGTGTTAGGTCTTGCAAATTATGCAAGTGATGATGACGATGTAGATGGTAATATTCAGAGTTCTGTTATGCCAAATTCTGGGAAAGATGCTATTCTTCAGCACTCAACTGTCAAAAAGCCTTTGAATGTTAGGCAGGATGCCACTACAAATGACAGTTCTTTGGTAGGGCTTGAAGAGCACGGTAGAAGTCAGACAATTTTAGAGAGTGATCCGGGCAAAACCAGTTCACTTGAGTCCAAATATAACAACAGTGCTGCTATTAGTGATATTAGTTATAATAGACAAAAGAATGTTGAAAGTAATGCCGATAAAAATCTGCCAGATGGAACTACGGCCTCTAGGCTGAAGGATACTGCAGGCACATTGAAACCTGACCTCCATAAAGAAAATGTCAATGTCAAAAAAACATCAAAAGATGACTCACAAGGTAGGGAGTCCAGGATGAAACCTGATAAGCATGATCGACATGAGAGTAAAAATAGTTCTGTGATGGACTTCAGTAAGGACTTAGAGAGTGGTAAGACTAGGACAATTGAGAAGGGTGATGGGAATCGTAGGGGGCATGATGAGAGGCATTCGAGAAGGGAAAGGACAGACGATCGGAATGGCTCAAGAGAAAAGGTGAAGGAGCAAAGTCTTAAGCCTGTAGAAAAAGCACAGGAATCTGAATCAAGAAAAAAAGCTTCCCATGCTGATGACAAAGAGGATAGAAGAGAAACAGAGAGACTCCATAGCTCTAGTGCTAAAGAAGATAACATCAGAAAAAGAGAACAGGCAAAGGATAAGGAGGATGATAGATCAAGGCGTAAACATTCTACTGACTCAAGCAGGCACAAGAGAAGGCGCTCCTCTTCTGTTGGCAGTAGGGGTAGAAACAGCAAGGACAACTTGGTTAATCATGCCAATGATTCAAGTGATGAAGCTTCTGATGATTCTAAAAGGTTCTTCATTGTGATCTTCTGATTACTCGTGTTCTATTTATGTTATGTTGTGGCTCATATACGGTTATGTGCAGCAGGAAGCACTCAAGGAGACGTAACTTATCACCATCACCTGTCAGGTCTAGGAGAAGGTACCATTTATCCGAAATTTGTGTCCGCTTTTTGTTTCTCTGTTTGCATTGTAAGGTTCAGCCTATTGTGTTTTAAATAGCTCTGGAAAAATGAAATTGGTAATATGTTATGGAGATATTACGTTCTTATATCCAACTGAAATCAACATAACTTAAGCATAAGGTCCTTAGCAGGTTGATGCCAAAGATAGAAGAAACAAAATGAAATGATTTTAAATCCTATTCAGTACCCTCTTGTACTTAATTTGTTCATCTTAGGTTCTTTTGTGGTTCCAATGTGACTGTTGTGTGAGATTGACCCTTCTTTTTTGTCATTTTATTTTTTATACTATGCTGTAGATCAAGATATGTTTTTTGGTCAACCACATTGCATTGATCTTTTTAGTGTTAATTGTTCTAAATCTTTCAGCATTCTCGTTCCTGTTGAGGTTTGAGTCATATTCCAGTGACAAGTTTGGATGCATGTTAACTGAGTGATTTAACTGACGTAACATTTTGAGGTTATGAAAGTTGTATTATGTGTAGCTCTTTTATTTTGAATTGATTTGCAAGACCAGAAATTAATTCTAAAATTAGGAATGAAGAGTAAAAACATATACATGGTTCCATTGTTTGTATATTTTAAGTAATTGTGTTGAATTCAATTTCATTTACATATTCTGGTATTCTGAACATGAATAAAGATCAGACATCTGGATCTCGGTAACCTTTCACACAATACTGTAGCAAAAACATTATTGTGGAAAGAATAGTGGGTATCCTGGTTTTTATTCTATGCTGTCCTTTGTCGGATTTACAGTGGGAATTTGTTTTATGTCTAGTTTCAGAACACATGGTAAAGTGCAGTATATGACAAAAGCTTAAATCTTTTGGTTTCTAAATCCCTTGTGAGAATTATGACTTTGTCTTATAGTTTCTTTACATGGTCATTAGAAGCAAAATAATATGTTCTAATGGCCACTCCCTATCCAGTATGACTCTGCAAAAGGCTGAGCATTTCTCTTCTGAACCATGTATGTATAACTCACCAAATTAGTATCATGGATGTTTTCATTTCTAGACAAGTTTCGCGGTCTCCACATAGCAAGCATTCTCAGCGCAGGCATTCTCCTTATTCTTCTGTTGATTCCAAAAGGTATGTTGCCATGAAATCTTTGTTGTGTATTGTTTTTCAGACATATGCACGTATGAATAAGCAACTCAGGTGATATTGCCAGGCTTCTGCTTCTATAACTCTAATCCTTGTATGGTCTGTTTTAACTGCACTAATTTATATGCAGGGGAAGAAGGTCACGGTCCAGATCACCTGTACGGCGGCAGAGATGATTGGAGCAATGGTCCACCAAGGATTAAGAGCTAGACTTATGTTCGTTAGTGGTCTGAAGACTGATGAGCGCTGGAACCGAGTTTCACAACGAAGCCAGTGCAACGTGTGCAGCTACCGCAGTTGAGGACTATACTTCTGTTTCTCTGAATACGAAGTGGGTGTTACTTTGTTGAATGGGTGCATTTAGTCCCGAGGAGAAAGGCATGCACGACAGCTTTGAGGCCGATGGGTGATGTGCATGAGCTGATGGTGGATTTTGTAGGAATTATAATCACAGTTTTGTGGCATCACGATTTGTACTTGTGACCCGCATAATTTGTATGTATTGCTCCAATGTTGTTGGGACGTTGTTTTGTTCATATCAGCATTGCTGATTTTGTTTCTTTTTGGCATGTGACAAAATAGCAGAATTTTTTTTTTAATTTTTCTATTTATCATTCGACCCAGATGATTATGTGTGATTTTAGTTTAAAGAATGTAATGGGGTCTTAACTGACATAATTTTACTTCTGTTTTCTGGGAGAATTTTAGATCAATTTAAAACCCAAAATAAAATGATGTCAGTGCGTAACAAGAGATTTAAGTAAAGAAAAGACTCAAGTGAGGGGCTTGTAGATCAAGTGATTAAGAGTAGTTATTTGACTCCCTCGTCCTAGTATCGTTAAGTTAGGGTTTGTGTTTGATTTCCCCGCCCTAGTATTGTTAATGTCAAAAAAGAAAGAAAAGACTCACAGCTTAAACGACGCTGCAAGGAAAGGAGTGCCATATGGTTTCATTGACTATCGTGAGTACAGATTCAAAGTGTTTAAAAGCAGTTATTTGACTCTTCCGTCCTAGTATGATTCAAGTGATTAAGAGCAATTATTTGACTCTCCTGTCTTAGTATGGTTAAGTTAGGGTCTCTGTTTGATTTCCCCGCCCTAATATTGTTAATGTCAAAAAAGAAAGAAAAGACTCAAAGCTTAAACGACGCCGTAAGGAAAGGAGTGCCGTATGGTTTCGTTGACTATCGCGAGTACAGAGATTCAAGAACGCAAATCAAACGTACAAAGGTGGGCGAAGACTTACAATGGAATCTGACGTGTAAAAGGCGACAATCTTGGCAACTCACATGGATCCCGCACGGCCTTGTCCTTGTTGGGAGCGCCGCTGGCTGGCTGGTTGGTGTGTTCGTTACTTTTGCAACTCTCTCTTCTCTTCTCCTCTTTTTCAGTTAAAGTTCCATACTTTCATCTTCATTCTCTCTCTCATAGATATATATATATATATACATACACACAAAATATATTGAGATATACAATACCAGGCTACTTAGCTCACGATTGTCTCATTGTTCTCAACAACTCCACGTAAAATGAAGGTCACTTTTCTCTGCTTCAAAAAAATCTTTAGTTCTCTTTGCCATTTTTCTTTGTTATATGACTTACATTAATGCAGAATGTAAATATGATTTGCTTTTGCAGGCGTTTCAAGTGGGAGTATGGAGTCTATGGTCAATTTGGCTATGTGGATTGGCGTTATTTTGTCTCTCCCTGTATGCTACTCAATGCTTTCTTCCTTCCCTCAAGGATCAGATCATGAGGCCCAAGCTTAGTCAACGAGGCGCCGACATTTCGGAACCTCCGAGAATTATCATATTCTCAGCTCCAAGGCTGTTCACTGGTTCTGTTGGGGCTAGGCAGAATTTAGCTGTTCGCTCATGGCTTGCTTTGTCCCCACAGATTGCCGTTGTGCTGTTCAGCAAAGACCCTTCTGTTGTTTCTTTCGCTGGAGCGTTTGATTCGCGGGTTTTGGTCGAACCAAACATTGATTTCACGTAAGCCAATAACTTTGTTATTCATTTCTTGCCCATCATTACTTTGTTTGAATGCAGTGCATTTTAGTTGATAGAATAGTTGTTGACTTAGCTATCTGCTAAAATGGAATGTTTCTGTAAGTTGTGTTACAGTTCTTAAAGGCCTTTTTTTAGAAAAGCAAATGTTTTTGTCTTTTCTGCTGTGTTTTCTTTGTTTTGGTTGTATTTTAATAGTAAATTTGTGGTGATTGGTTGAATTGAGGAAAAAACAAAGGGTTTTCAAAATGAACCTAGAAGGTGGCTTATATAATTCAAAAGAGTCTAGATGATGAATACAAAGTATGTTGCTTTATTTACAGAGATGGTTTTTGAGGATTAGTTAGAAAATACTCAAGGAGTAATGGAGTGGAGCTAGAACTATCGTATATTTATTGTCATCTGTTGCTTTATTTACAGAGGTGGTTTTTGAGGATTAGTTAGGAAATCCTCAAGGAGTAATGGAGTGGAGCTAGAACTATCGTATATTTATTGTCATCTGATACATGTTTGTATGGGTCTAGGTTCCTCGGTACCCCATTTTTTCATTCGATGATGGCAAGATCAAGGTCATTTTCATCAGACATTTCTGTCCTGGTTGATCCTGAAACCATTGTTTTACCTGACTTCATTTCCACCTTGAATTATGCTTACAAACTTGACCATGATTGGCTTCTAGTTGCTTCATCACGAAATGTGTCCGACTTCCCATTCTACTTGGATGAGGATGGAAAGCATTGGCGAAGAGAGAATGGGAAATTGATGACGACACAGGAGGTATGAAAAAACTTATTTCAGGCTGAAAATCTGATGGTCACAATTCCATTGATATTGTGCACTCTTCCATCAGTTGCAGGAGATTTTTGGGCAGAGTTGGCAGTCGACTCCCTGTGAAGGAAAGCTGCTTATGGCATGGAATAACAAAGATCTTCCCCTACATTCTGGAGTGCTTCCTCCTTTCTTGTATGGTAGGGGGGTGCACAATAGTTGGGTCGTCAGTGAGGCCTTGTCATCTGAGCTTAGGTTTGTATTTGATGCCAGTTGGACAATCTCAAGCTTCTATCTAGTTGATCAGGAACATCAGACTGACTGGAATGTCGGAGGTTCCAATGCTTCAAATTTTGAAAGAAGCTGGGAATATGCTGGAAATTCTCATATTGGGGCACTATATGGATCATTGTCTTATCACGAAATTAATTACCGTAGCCTAGTAAAACTTTTGAAATGTGACGGGCAATATATTTTTGTCAATACCACGGAAAACATTGTTTGTCCGACGGTATACCAGAGTGCAGGGAGATTATGGAAAGGATGGATATTGCGTTTCGTGTGGAAGAACACTTTGGCTTGGGCTGAGGGTGTTAAATCGCCAGGCCAGTTATCAGACTGTTCTCAGATGGTTCCAACAAAGCATACGAAACCATTAGACCTTCCATTCTCTTTAGAGACACTTCTCTCGTTCAATGCAGACAAAAATAACACAATTGTGCTTACTGCTGCGGGATATAATTACAAGGACATGCTAATGAGCTGGGTGTGTAGATTGCGCCAACTGCAGGTCACAAATTTTATCATTTGTGCCCTTGACCAGGAAATATACGAGTTTGCTGTCTTGCAGGTAGTTCATTAAATCTTGTTTATTTATTTCCAGTTCTCTTCTTGTTTCACTTGAATGTGTATGTCCATTCTTATACACAAAGCATGCCAGCATGCACATGCATGGACAGATAAATAAGTAAACGATACATATCGGTTATGATTCAAAGCAGGCTGAGTTTCGGCAGTAGATCAAAGATAAAGAGTCTTTATTTACTAACTGAAGTCTCAGCAAATGGAAATTTAAACAACTTGAAGCTAGTCCGAATTCTAGACTGATCTCCAAATGTGTTCATAAATTTGACTATATTTCCCGTTACTGTTAGGGCCTGCCTGTTTTCAGGGATCCATTAGGTCCAAGTGAGATCAGCTTCAGTGATTGCCACTTCGGAACAAAATGTTTTCAGAAGGTGACAAAAGTGAAGTCCAGAATGGTTTTGAAGATACTGATGATGGGTTACAACGTGCTTCTTAGTGATGTGGATGTATATTGGTTTAGAAACCCGCTGCCATTGCTCTACTCTTTTGGTCCTGCTGTTCTTGCAGCTCAGTCTGATGAATTCAACAAAACAGGTGCATTTTGTGTAAATGGTCACTCTTATTTCCAATGGTATAGAAGCACTAAGTACATATATGCAGTGATATCTCCATCCGTACGACTCTTTAGCTAATAAATCCAATGCCCTAAACCCCTCTGTGGTATTGCTCTGTATGCAGGACCAATTAACTTACCTAGGCGCTTGAACTCTGGCTTTTACTTTGCCCATTCTGATGGTTCGACAATTGATGCTATGAAGAAGGTGGTGGCACATGCAGCAACTTCAGACCTATCTGAGCAGCCAAGCTTCTATGACACACTATGTGGAGTAGGGGGTTCCAATCGTGTGGGTGACGATAGATGCTTGGAACCTGAAACAAATCTGTCCGTCCATTTCTTGGACAGAGATCTCTTCCCAAATGGTGCATATCTGGACCTGTGGCAGAGAAAAAAAGTGACAGCAGCCTGTGTGAAGCAGGGTTGTTTTGTTCTCCATAACAATTGGATCAGCGGGAGACTGAAGAAGTTAGAAAGGCAGGTTTTATCTGGCCTATGGGAGTATGATACTAGTACAAGGATGTGTCAGCACCATTCCAAATTAGTACAAAAAGTTTGAGACCCAATTGGTGTATTATAATAATTAGTCTCACTTTGTTTTTCACATCCAACAATGATAAAGAAACTATTCCTTCTCTCATGTTTGCAACTATGAGAGCCTTGGTTTCATCACAGCTTCCTCTGAAAGGGAATATTAAATTAAGGAGAGCCGGCCATGAAAAACAGGAATTATCGTCTGTGGTTAATGCTTAATAATATCAAGGCAATAGAATGCTCAGAATCCACACCAGAGGACTATGTTGAAACATTTTGGTCAGGCGTCTTTTAATTGTGGCTATGCTGAAGAGGTTCATCCAGTTGTTAGGCCTAGCCTGGAATACTGACAGTGGAAGAAACAAACAGTTGAAAGGATCTACCATAGATGAAGGATCTGCAAGTAAGGAAGTAGGAGCTCCCATATCATTGGACTTCAGTTTACAGTCGAAGAATATTTTTGTGAGGATAGTCCACGCAGGTGGGCGAGAGGAGCTGTATCAGAATGTAGTTCCTGCATCTCTGTTGATGGAAAAGTATCCTGGGATGTGCGTTGCCCGCCCAGAAGTGTTCAAAAATCCTCAGGAGTCCCTTTTAAGGCCAGAGGAGAGCCTTTTGCCTGGTCAGAAGTATTATATAATACCAACTACTACAGCGCAGAAAATTAAGCATAAACACCAAAAGAAAGCTAGGGCCAAAGAACCTGCTGAAGGCAAAGAGTCTCCAGATGGGATCATTGTGAATGCAGAAGGTTGGGACACAGATGAATCTGTTTGCTCTGATAAAGACTATTATGTCTCCAAGGAAGGGTGGTCAAAACATTTACGGAGAAAAGGTATTAGAGGAAAGAAGCCTTTTGTTCCCCCACTCCCGAAGACTAAATCATGTAGAGGATTGGGATGGGAGCCAAGTCTCACTTCTGTACAAGAGCTTTCTCCATGACTTTCTGTATACTATCAACCTTGCGCTCGTATACTGGTACGTGGTTCAATTGCTACTGCAATATGTTTGTTCCATGAAAAGTCTGAGAGAGATGTAACAAAAAAATTTATTCACCATAAATAATAAGTAGTGTACGATTTCCAGCACTATATTCTATAGACATACCGTTTTAAAGACTAGATTACTCGTGTACCATAATTATAGGAGTTGTTTTCAACAAATTTTCACTTGTCAGACTCTCTCTCACAATATATTGATGTCTACCTGAAAACAGGAAAATATTTTTTGCTTGTTAAAACTGTTACTGCCAGAATACTGCATCTAGGGGTTGTGTTTTCTATATCTAAGAGTTGTACTTGAGCTGCATAGTTAACCAACATGGTGGATCATCCTTGAATTTTTTTGGGGTATGTTCCTTTTTTGAAAATAAAGAGCATTTTTGTAGGTAGATGCTTCCTTAAAGAACATACATGTCTTTAATAATCTTGAGCAAGGATTCCGTATATATGTACGGCGGTATAGGATACTCAAACAGAAGAAACACCAGTGTAGAATTCAAGAAGAAAAAGGCTGTGAGCACAAGCAAGATCTTTAGTTCCACAAATCTGTAAAAGAAGTGGTTGTTTTTCAATTAATGACTTACATCAACTGTCCATCACTTCTATCTTCAAATGTACTCACAAAATATAAGACAAAAGCTTGGTAAGGATCCATGTGTAGACAACAGAAAAGAAAGCACCAGCTGGAATTGTCACAGCCCAAGAAGCCACAATTTCCCTCACTGTTTCTGCTCTAACTCTATTAAGCCCCCTTGCAAATCCCACCCCCATGACTGCACCCACCAGAGTATGAGTTGCAGAGATTGGTAGTCCCAGCTTTGATGCAAATAGAACCACAGAGGCTGCAGCAAACTCAGCTGCAAATCCTCTAGTTGGTGTCAGTTCTGTAATCTTCTTCCCAATTGTTGCTATTACCCTATACCCCCACATAGTGAGACCTGCTACAATTCCAAATCCTCCCCATGCTAGAACATCAGTTGGAATAACAATCTCAGCTCCACTGGCACCGCCATGAAGAATAGATAATGCAGCAGCCAAAGGACCTATTGCATTGGAGACATCATTCCCACCATGGGCAAATGACATGAAGCAGGCTGAGAGGATTTGCATGTATCCAAAGACCCCATATACTATTTCCAACTGGGTACCCGTTGGACCTGCAATATCAGAGAGAAACCCAATGTTTTTTTGGTGGATGGTACCCTCTTTTTGCTCTGCTTCTGATGATGCGGACTTGAGGAGGAGATGACCTAGCTGCTTTCGGATAATTCTGTACACAAGGACCGCACCTGCAATTCCACAGGCTAGAGCCCGGGCCAGAGCCAAAGCCAAGCTTTCTCCAAGAGGAAAGGCTGCAAATGAGATTCCACTCACTCCCACGAGTACAGCAATTGGTGCTGCTGCAGCTGCAGCTTGTCCAGGATTTGGAGCACTATACACAAACTGAAAGGAACAGAGAAGAAGAAGATGAGTTGTAAGCAATAAGAAGTGTATTCTCAATTTTTGAGCAGAAAATCAGGTTCTGTAAAATGCTAAGACTAAGAGTTAGACATATAGAGTGATGCTCTAAAGGCAAAGCTTCAGCCCTATCCTAGAGGCACCATACAGTTTCTCAGCCATGCTTAGGGCTTATGGTTTTGACTTAGTTTGGAAATCAAAGGAAACCATGTTTTTTCTAACCAAAATATAGTCTTTGGTAATAAGATCGGTTAAGGGTTACAAGCGAAGCAAACATGTGGTAGCCTTTCTTCATTAATTAGCAGGTAAATTCTTGTATGTTATCATAAGCCAACGCCATACCCATAAATGATATAAGGCAGAGGATCATTTGACAGTTCCATCTCCAAAGAAGGGGAACATACCCTACGAATGCATTTGTATACAAGAAAGGACATCAGTGCTCCCATGAACGGTGAGATAACCCATGAAGAAATCACTCTTGCCAATGAGCTCCAGAAGACGGCACCTGCTCCCCCATAGACAAGTCCAAACCCAACCATCGATCCTACTATACAGTGCGTTGTTGAGACAGGCCAGCCATAATATGATGCAACCTGACTAGCAGAAGACAATTAGTGATGGATAGAAGAAAGAACAGGAGAATGTAGCATATAAGTGCACAACTAAATCCAGGGGGAAAATATGCAGCACATAAATGAACAACCAAATTCAAAGTCCTTGTTTTTTTCTTTTTCTTTCTGAAACAACTACATTCAAAATCAAGAGGTCTCTGTCACGGAAGAGTATATTGTTGCTTTCTTCCATAGAGGTCTCTGTCATTCTGAATGAGTTATGCTGCATGATACATAATTGCTAATGTAATACATTCGTTAAGTTCGAAAAAAGAAAACTCTATATGCTTGTTAAATAAGAGATATTTTTAGTGAGGTGGTCATACTGCAACGTGGTATTACTATTTTGATCATAAAACTCGTAGTACTAAAGAAGATTCAGAGGGTGAATTATCCTAAGACTGAGAAGCTTCCCTTCACACGCATTTGATTGAAAAGACCAGCTCTTACTCTTTTCCAATGTCATTGTATGCATGTATCAAGGAAATCTTGGTTTGATGATTTTGAGGGACAACTCATTCAAGTAGGTCATCGATCAAGCGAAACACGAAACCACAAAATACATGCAGTGGAAGTTTGTTCTTATTATTGCACAACGGTTAAACATTTATAAATATCTAACAGCCATCCATTCTGTCCTGTCTGGGTAACATATTCCAGAAGTTGGTCCATAAAAGTTACTTTAAGTAACCCAACAAAAGGACCAAGATATTGAACTCAACATAACTAGGCCTCCTCCATGATCCACACAAAGTTAGTTCAATACTAATTAATTTAGTTTGATTTCTCCCAATAAGCCATGAGAATTCTACCAAATCCAGATATGCTCTTTGCTAATATCTCCCCTTTTGGTCTCATAGGAATTGAATATGTTAATCCCATAACTAACTTCGACAGAACTGAGATAGAAATAAAAACAGAGGAAAAACAATATTATACCTGCAACCAAGTACCAGCAGCACCAAGCGAAGAAAGCAAGCCAGCAAAGAGCAGAGTGTCTTTGCCCTGAAACACATTAGCAACAAGAATGCCCTTTTGCATTGTGCTTGTCACATGAGTCCCCATAAAAAATGCTCCTGAGAATTCCAACACTGCAGCAGTTACAACAGCCTGCCTTAGCGTCAATGCCCCTGAACCCACCGAAGTCCCCATGGCATTGGCCACGTCATTGGCTCCAATATTCCAAGCCATGTAGAAACCAAACAACAGCGTTGCATAAGACAACATCTTGGTCTTCAAGGCCATGCCTTGCCACAGAGACTTCATGAAAAATGGAAGACTCAGAGCTGCAAATACTATGCATATGGAAATGGCTGAAGCTGTGCGGGAAGATATGTGGAAGGCCTGAGCCATTCCAGGCGACTCAGCTTGGTCCTCTGTTTTTGTATTCTCGTGATGTTCTTCAGCTTCGGCATCTTGGTTTTGCTGTTTTTCACCTTCCGCTTCTGCAAAAGAAGATAAACTGGCAAAAGGGTGTGTGATTTTCGAGTTGTTTAGCCTCAAAATGGGGAGAAAAGACTTGGGCAGTGGTGTTTGGGGCCTGAGAAAGTTTGTCTCTTTCCTTGGGAAGTAGGTTTCAGTTGAAAAGGAAAAAGAGCGGTGCTTTGGGAGATAGAGATGAGAATTATGGAGAAGAAATGCTTCTGGTGTGATGGTGTTTCTTGCAGAAGATAGGCAATAAGAAGGAGTCATTTCTTAGGTGAAGAAAGAGGGCAGAGAGAGTGAGGAACAGAGAGGGTGGAGAATCCAAAGGGGATTATTCAGGTGGATTCTTGGCCATGGAATTTGGTGGGGGAGAGGAGGAGAATGGAGTAGGTGGTGGTAGAGGAACAGAGGGGAGTGCATTTTTGAGTTGGATATGATTTTTTTTTTCTTTTAATTTTTTTTTGGTTGGAAAGAAAGGGAGGTAAGAGTGGATTTGGCTGCTTCCTTTCTTCGATTGGGACAAGTGGTGGTCCTATTTC